GGCGCCGAACCTGCTCGAGGACTACACGCACAATTTCCACGTCATCGCGTACGCGCTATACATGAATTGGGCAGCCCTGGATTCTTCCCGATTTCTGTTCTTGGGACGAAAGTTTGATGAACTGGCTTTCAAGAAGAAGAAGTTAGATCGAGATCACTTCATAAGTTTTACAAACGGGAATGATACATTGATCTTTCAGAGGCACTGGCCATCGGATTCGGACAATCATAGAGTATGGGAAGTGGACACAATTCCAGAAACGAAGAATATCACACATCAAATACTGGGAGCCGAAGTCGAACTCAGTAATATGACAGGATCGTTCCCTGGACTATGGGACTATTACACAATTCCTACCACGACAGATCTCACGATTCAACTTAAAAAAGCCGAAATTAAACTCGCCTATACTACAGTAGTCCTCGATCAACAAGAGACATCACTCTGGAACCAATTGCACCAACTACAGGCAGCACTAGCGACTTTAAATGTTGGTATGCTGCATTCGGGGACACAGCTGTTTGTCCGCCTGTCGTCAATACACGAATATACTTCCACGGAGGCAATCACATCATGCCGAAGGCGCAACTTGATCATAATAACGGGCCTCATCCTTCCTTCAATCATACAAATCATCGATATGGTGTTGAATAATAGAGGTGTCAGAAATGGATGGTCAGGCCCTTTGGTATGGTCAACGGGAATGATAGGACTGACCACCTCTTGGTGTCTGGGGTACAGTTACGCTATCGCTCCGCAACTACCTAGCCTGGGTACTGTAACCTGGTGGGCCGTTGCATCAATCTACGCACTCACCATCGCAGGGCTTTACGGCCTCTACTTCTGCTCACTTTCATGCATGTATGTCGAGGGACCGAGATGCGGCTTTATGCCACACATGTCCTCTAAGATCACGGAGGTGGACCAGGCGTTCGCTTTGTTTGCTGCGCTTCTTTATCTTGTGTATGACTTCCGTTCATACTTCGTTGGGCTTCTCAAGTTTCTGAGGCTTCACTTTGAGAAGTTGGTGTTTGGGGCTAGTGCACATGACAACATATGGGCTGGCATGCCGCTCGGGCTGCCATACTGACAGTAGCATGTCTACAAAAGGCACTTGGAAGTGAAGATAAACGGGAGGAAAATACCTAAGAACAACTTTCAGCCAGATGTAAAGAAATCGATAACACCATTTCCATCTTCGCATACCCGGGGCATGCCTCACTCTTCGAAGAATCCAGTTCCCACACAACTAATGACATAAACCACCCATCCATCCACCATCCACAGCACAAGCCGAACAAACCACACACCCACATATCCACCCCAAGCGCCCGGTACCGCCGACAAACATATCCAGCTGAAACTCCCCTCTCCCCCCACCTTCACCAGCATGTATGTAACATCGCCCGCGATCTGAAACACAACACCGGTATCAGGCCACCCAATATTCACGTCAAAACCCCATATCCATAGTCTGTGTGTACCTCCCATGCTAAACGTCCATGCTGAACGACCATGCATTCACGACTCGCCGAAAAGCGAAAAGCGAAGGGCAAGTGACTGACTCAGCATACTGGTCGTCGATCACGTGTGGGGTCACATAATCTATTGAAAGAACCTTGGAATAGCGAACAAGGCTATCGGCCTGATTACCTGCCAGATGAGTGATATTACGGCCGAGGCCGAATGTTTCAGGTTACGGAGGTGTTGCTCACACTATTCTTCTGAGACCATTGCGTTATGTATCAGGTCACGAAGATGGTTGGCTGGTGTGTAGTATTGGGATTGGCATTGCCTTTAGGCTTATTGGGGTGAATGATAGTTGTAGTGTATGTGTATGTTTAGGTAAGGTTCAGGCGGGTCGGCTTGCATAGGCAGGCGGGTTTGTAGTGGACGATATATTGGCAATATGGAGGATTGGAGGGGTGAGTATGATGGGGTGGTGGTGTGTGTCTGGGATGTGAGATCGACGATACACAGTAGCTATGCGTAAATATCAAAACGTTGATTTTGCAATTGGTAGTGGTGCATGTTCGGCTGGTGGATCGAGCCCCCCAAAGCGTTCGGAGGAATTGACAGGTCACATCACAGTGCACGCAATGGCCCGTGAGGGCGGAGAAGAGGAAGTGTCTGTGTGATTTCTCTGTGTCGCCTGCCACACTTGCCGGTAGAAATCGCTTCCGCGCCAATGGTAGCTCAGGGTGTGACGCTTTTTATAGCTCTGGGCCGACGGGTGGAGAGGGATGCTTTGCATGGTCGTGCAGGTGCAAAGTGTGGCTTGCAGATGGCTGGGGAATGTGTATTGCGCGCGCGCTGAAAACTCGACATTTTGTGTCAAAACTTGCATTTGGTAACCGGCTTGGCTGCGATGTCTTGTTGTCGTGTGACTGACGGTGTGGTGTCGCGACATGAAGCCTCTTCAGACGTCATAAAATGTATGTATAGTAACGTTCGGATGTTTTTTGTGGTTGCTGAATCGCTGAGTCGGTTAGTAGTGCGCTGGCTTAGTGTACGCTGGAGCTATGCTGAGGCTACGCTGAAAAGGCGAATAGGCCATCGGAAAAGACCGATGCGACGATGGACGAAAGATGCGAGTGGAGAGGTGTCTTGTAACCCTGGTCGCAGAACCCCAGAGAAAACATGGCTGCATGGGTAGCCCTAGATGCATGGTCGGCTGCAAACTCCCAGGGTAAAAGGACCTTAATCCTAAGAATAGCCACCACGGATCTATGACAACCAAACACCAGCTCGACGTAGTGAGGTGGCTGAAGGAAGACTAGCCTGCGAATACACATGTTGTCGCATGAACCTGCTTTGGCGCATTCCGCTATGTCATCTAGTAGAGTTTTAGCCTCGGTGGTTGCAAGAGGTAGCTGGTAGGTAGGCGACGGGTGCCGCCGCGATGCCACTGGTTCCTGGTTTAGAACTCGTATCTCGTGGCAGCTACTTGTGCTCCACCACGCGACGGTCGCGACGGTATCGCGCGTATGGACAACGTCATAGGTACAGCCCTATGGGATGTCGGCGACGAAATCGCAGCTGCTGTGACGATATCTCGATATGTGGATGCAGGCTGTTGTGTCAGGCGCCCACCAGCAGGGTCGCGTAATTACTCAGTTACTGTATAGGCCCCGCCAGCAAGCATTCTCCGCTGCATGAGATATTGCCAGACGCGGGGACATTGAATTACCCAGTACCTAGGTATTGCGATGGTGTCGCCCACTGCCTAGGCGAAGTCACAGGCGAAGTCACCCACGAGTGGGAGCGGAAGTCACGCTTATTCATCGCGCGGCGCCCTTCCGTCGATAGCGGAGACAGGAATAGAGCGAAATCCGCCGCCACTGCTCGGCGCAACTGGATGCGAAGGAGCGGTATGAGGATAGCGGCGTGAGGATGGGCCAGCGTAGTATCGATGGAAAATCAGCGCGATGAGAGTGTAGACCCTTTTTGCTAAGGTCTGGTGACAGGTGACGCACGGAGGGCTATTTTTGACCGCGAGATATTGAGGGCCCCGGCTTCCGCAGTGTTTAGCGATCGCTGGTGGCATCGCATCAGCAACGTCAGTCTGATTCGACCGACGTCGCTGGCAGAGTCCAGCTTCGCATTTCGCGTTGATGAGATCTCGGGCATCCATGTCGCCCGTGGTCGCCCGTCCGCCGTCACGCGTGGGCGCTGCCACCTCAGTCAGGGCTCTGGAGCTGTCTGAAAAATTAGCAGCGCGCGCGCCCCGAAGCTGACCCGGCGAGCAAGCATGGCGGCCTCCTTCACCCACTATTCCGCAGGCGGCTTCCAACTACCCGTTACAGCATGGCCAGCGAGCTATCCAGGTGCTACTGGTCGATCGTTCTCCACGCACGGCCCGCGCAGCTGTTGGCGTTTCCTCGGTCGTCGGACCTGAATGGCCGTTTTTCACGCCTCTTGCGCTCTGAGCCCGAGCCCCAGCTGGAGCGGCTCATGCACCTGCACGCTCAAACGTCTCCGTCCCAAGCGGATTGACAGGGGCTTTGACCAGAGGGCCACCAAAGGCTGCTTTCTGCGATATGGCCGTCGGCGAACTAGCACCTTCACACTGCACCCTAGCCCTGGGCTCAACCCTCGCCCGACAGGGGCCGCTTCATTCATCCAAACACGTCCTGAGTCTTTGAGCGACGCCGTGCTGCATGTCTGAAAGCGCCCTGCCGACTGCGAGGGTTCACGTCTCGCTGGAACCTTAATCCCCACGGGAGTTACACCGGGGCTATGTCATACGAGCAGGAGCCAGCCGGTGCCATCTGGCAATCAGTCACTCCATCGTCTGTAGCTCCCGCAAGCTTCTCTGCCCTCCCTGCTAGCCTCTCCCGTCTCGCGGGCTGCCACCCAAGTCCCTCTTCCGCCGCTCGTGGCGTCACTGCTATTTGTGTGGACGCTACCTCAGGCTAACCCTACCTGGCCCCGTTTCTCGACGTTTGTCGTCTTTGGGACCGAGCACAAGTCACCCTGCGCTTTTGCCCGCATACCACCCAAGTCCCTTCTTCAGCCTGGCGAGCCTCTAGTCCATAGCCTTGTCCCCATCCTGCATGGTCATTGTGCAGGGGGTAGGTTGCAGACGAGCTTGACCACTTCCGCTGTCACGTCGTCCTGTCGTACCCTCTTAGCCTGTCCGCCGGAGGTATTGCTGGCCTTGCGTCAATATCTCTCCAGCCCTAGAGCTATCTAAGCTCATCCCATCTGCACTCTGCACTATATATCACCAGAACGCCCACGAACAGCCTCCAAATCACCACCCTGTCCAATTTAGTCACCGGTTTCGACCCCATTACCCTCGCTTTATCAACCGCTCGCCAGATCTACCGCCCGCATATACACAGCCCCTCGTCTATCCCACCTTCCCGTCCATCTCGCATACCACACAACAAGAGAACACTGCCTGCGACTGATCCTGTGCCCTGACGTGCTACCACGACCACGCCGTACGGTCCACTTCCCACTCTCGCTAAACTACTTCATCTTCCTCTTGAAAAATGGCTGGTCCCGGTGGAGGCCCTTCAAGGCGCAGCCATACCAAGTCCCGAAAGGGCTGCAAGACGTGCAAGAGGCGGCATATTCGCTGCGATGAAACATTCCCGCAATGGTAAGCACCAACATCTCTTTGTCCACGACTCGTGTACTAACATCTACCAGCCGCAACTGCACCAAGCACCAGGTTCGCTGCGACTACATGGACAGTCCAACTGCCATGATGCCAGAGTCTCCCCAGTCTCCTCAGCAGCCCAATCTGCTCTGGACGCCCGAGATCGAGGCCACCATCGAACTCTGGAGACAGACGGGAGAGTTCCCTTTCCCCGAGCTCCGAGTATACCCACAGCCGCAATGGCGCGCCTTGACGACGGTTGACCTCCGTCTGGTGCACCATCTTGCCTCTATCTCGAATGAGATGTTCAGAAATAGGACTTCGAAATCGACCCTCTGGACCGACATGATGCCCAAGTACGCACCTACCACCCCAAGCGACTACGCCCAAAAGCAACACTAACGTTTCTAGATTCTTGAGCATAGCCGCAACCCATCCATTCGTTATGCACAGCATCCTCGCCTTCTCTGCCTCGCACTTGGCCTGGATCTCTCAATCAACCGAAACCCGAAACCTCGCATTCCATCACGCAAGTCTTGCTCTCAAGGGCTTGCACGACGGCATCACCAACTTTACTAAGCACAACTCGGATGCTGTACTTGCGGCGTCTCTTCTGCTCGCATGGCAGGCGACAGACTGGTAAGGACTACCCGAATATATTGGGGTAATCAAAACTGACGCAGTCATTTAGGCGAGGTTGGGCTTCTCTAGTTACAGGCACAAAGACTGTGATTCAATCCATGCAACCCTGGAGACATGAGTCTCTGTTCGCCGACTACATCGCAGAGCACACGCCTATGCCAAACCGACACTTTATGAACCCGATCAGTACCCCGATATCGCCAGAAGCACGAAGAGAGCACATGAACGCCCTGGTCGACATCCACGCCTCCCTCCAACGACTACAGCCCTACCTCACTCGCAACGAACAGGAATCGAAATGGGTGGACCAACTCAAGGGCTACCTCGACCGCCTGCGATCGTCTAACCAGCCGCAAAGCCCGGAGGAACAGTTTAACCAACTCTACGCATTACGGAAGTGGCTGTTCTGGGTTCCCATTTCACTTCTAGCTGCGAAGCGTGGAGACGTCAACGTCCTGGTTGTTCTGGCTCATTTCTACGCTACTGCGCTAGCCTTGGAGCCAATGTTCCCGGATGTTGCTTCTGTCTTTGTCGCGGACCTTTCCCTGCGCCCATTGGAGGAAATAAACCAGCTGGTCCAGAGTTTCCAAGACCCTCGATACGATGCGCGCATGCAGACCATGTCCTATCTGGTGCAATTTCCTATCGACATGGTCTCGTCTTATAAGACCCGGCGAGAATGGTCTAGACAACAGATGACATCTATTTCGCCGATGCAGCAGCAGTCGGCCTACGCACTGGAGAGCATCAACCTGGACCTGGAAAACCACATTGCACAATACAGCTACGGCCAGAGCCTGTCTCCCGCCTTTGCGCCATCACCGCTCACGTTCCTTCCCCATGGCATGGCTTCTGCACCGACGTCACCGTACCTCGAAGTCCCGCGATCTGGCACCGTCGACACGTATGGCACAGCTAGCAGCTACGCATCGTCGAGCAGCTATGCGTCTCCGCTGGGGTCGCCTGCCGCGCTGCTGCCGCCATACTCGGCCCCACAAGAGCATGCATTCGCATTCGGAATGCAATCTGGTTATCCCAGCGGGTTCGTGGCTACACCTATCTGGACGTGAACGACGCGCTGAACGATCCCCCAGGAACCAAATGACTACTCCGATGCAGATTGTCGCTTCTCAATCACATACTCCCGCGCTGGACGATGTAGACGACAAAGGCCAGGCGTCCACTGCGGGGTACCTTCCCAGCCAGTACAACCACGCCTGAGAGCACCATGTCGGCGGAAATTCGAGGAACCATGCGCACGCAACGAAACCTGACATCCGCCCGGCCCGTCCTCGCTGTATCCACAGGTGTGCGAGACGAACAATTTCCGATCGATTGATCTCTGTCAATCATGACACCCGAGTCGGACCTATGACATGCCACCACTGGCACGGTGCTGTGGCTTCCGCCGTAAGCCGTTCGCGGTTTGGCTGCTGCGGCGCTTCGGCGCAATATCCGGAGAGACGCAAGGTGGACGGAACAACAAGTGGACATGTTTCGCACCAACATGCAACGCGCGCATCGTCCCCTGTTATGTCAGCCGCAGTTGGACCGGAGTTCGCTACATTGTAGGAAAAGGCGCATCGAGCTGCGGGACTGATGCCCGGCGTGGAGGAAGCCTGACGGGGCTCTCACAGTACGCCACATAACGACATAACGGAAAGCTTGCATAGCGCAGCGAACGAAGAACCACTCTGAGGGAAAACGTCTTCCTCATTGAGCGTCGTCCGCACTTCCCCGAGTACAGAGAAGAGCAAGGATACTTAGGCACCAGCTAGATAGCAATGCACAGAAGAATTAAGGTTGTCCAACACTGTCCTAGTTTCTCAGCCCTAGTCCTAGTTTCTCCATGTGATGGCCAGGGTCTGCCCTGCATGCTCGCGTGAAAGATGGACAGGTCAGCTACCAATTTTAGCCATCTGCCGCCAATCAAGACCGAATCCCCCACCATCGCTTCCAATTATCAATTATCAACCCAGCACTGCGGGTTTACGTACAAGCATGTTGCCGACAAATGCAGTCTCGATTCAGCGCAAGTAGTTCTCTTCCAATGCCGTCCAAGACGTAATTCCCAGGTTTTCCCGGATGGGAAAACCCTGACGAAAGAAAGGATAGTTAAGGATCAAAAGACAACGGCCGCGCTAAGGTATGACCTACAGCATACAGTAGGCTCGAGCTTGATGTCATACCAGTGCGCTGGATTTCGCTTTTCGCGGGTAGCGGGATAGGATTTGCTCACTCGCCTAGCCTGGCTAACGCGTACGAATCGTCACACCGTTCTCTTCACCAGCCACGCACACCAACCCTGTTTTGTGTGGGAATGCGAAAATGTCTGTGATGGCTGCACCGCCACAGAATGCTCCGGCTTGGCAGGCTACTTGTTGGTTGGTGCAGAGACCGGTCAACGTTTAGGAGATAGGGCTGATATGGTGTGTTCGAAGGGACTTGCGCATCACGATGTCGATTGGTCGTTTTTTGCGTACGGCGTCAGGCGTTTGGAGGATTCCAATGCATAACCATAACGACAACAACGGGAGCGGCATCCATGTCAGCCACAGCATGCAAAGTGGAAGGTGCAAGCGAAGTTCCTATGACTTTCCTCGCAATTATTCCACTTTCTCGCTGCCTTCCCCATTTCCATCGCCAGCCCATCACACTCTTGCCGTCGTCGCAACACTTGCTTGTCAATAAGAAGGCTGCCTTCGGCTTTGCGACCCCAAAGCGGTTCACCGACAATTCCAGCACTTTGTTACGTCTTAGCTAATAGTGCTCACGCCAGGGTCTTCCAGGGTTGTACTTGGATTGGGACTGCGAGAACCATCTCCTCGGCATCTCGGTACTTGAGCTCTTACAAGGCATATCCATGGTCTGCCCGAAGAGCGCGAGAGAGAGAGAGCTACCCGGTAGTGTTGCAACTTGCAGGTTGAAAAAGTTTGGGTCGTCTGCTGGCCAGCTGCTTCAGACATCCCAGATAGGCGTTGCATCATGGGAGTCCGGCAGGTTGCTTAGCCGCGTCCCTGGTGTCGAGTTAGCGGATGGACGATGGACCAGGGCAGGCGAGTAGAAACTCTGTGCACGCGCTTCCTTGCTTCCTCCTCCTCCCTCCAACAAACGTGCCTCCCAATGTGAGAGGGCGACCCACAAGAAATTTCCGCCGTTCCTGAGGGACGCTGTTCAAGCGGCTCCGCTCTCTTGGAACGTTTGGGCTCCGCTGTCTCCATCGCGCCCTACACGTTTTTTTCTCTGCAGCTGGCCGCTGAGAGTCGGACGTCCAGGGCATGTCCCCCACTCTCCCGTGGCCCACGGCCTCCGTGGTGTGGGCTGTTGCGGTGCTATTATGCCGAGATCTCGTCTCGAGGATGTGGAAATGGAGTAGGTTTGCATAAATGATCACTCATCACATCCACCTCAAGAATCGGAACTTTGCGAACTATCGGATGATGCAGATGGTTTTCCACTCGCCATAGTATCCTCTTGTCGCAGCACACCATGACACTCCAAAATTCTGACCTGGCAGAACGCAACAGGCACTACCTGTAAAGTACCAGCGCGCTGACTCGAGTCTCACTCGACGTTGGTTCTTGTTCTCACCGCACTTGGACTCCACCAACCACCGCCCGGGGCTCGGATCTGGCTTTTGTCCGGCTTCCGAAGGGACAGAGAGAAAACGTGACGCGACGATCAACCACCAAACCAAACAAAAAAAAATGCGTGAGCTCGGTCGGCCGAAGGATGCGCACCTGTGCTCGCGGCACCCTGCCAGCGCTCACGCACCAGCACCTGCAGGAAAGCAGATCTCTACTTTCTGACAGCCGTGCAGCCCCAGCACCGAGCAGCAGCCCCCGATTTCTACTAATACCGAACAGGTCATTGATAGTTTCTATTCTGGGGATCAAGCGTGCATGGGTGGGTGGGTGTGTGAGCCTCAGCGTGGTCATTGTCATGTCGAGCCGAGGCGGAGGGTCGGTCGGTCGCTGTAGGTACATCATGTACTGTGTGTACATGAACCTAGGCGTGATGAAGCCGAATGCTGGAGAAAGTTCCGACCGACGACATGATCCGCGCGTACATAAGGGGTGGCTGAACGAAAGAACGAGTAGAGCCTCGCGTCTGGCACGGACACCAGAGCTGCGTTAGCCGTGTGGCTGGCCTGTCCCCGACTTGTGCGCGCTGCTCAACCATCGCCATGGCGCGTTTTTCGCGGAGAAAGCCACGATGCCAAAGTTTGTTTTCCTCTGGTTCACTCACCTCGGACAAGCACGATCCGATGGGTTCTGGCGTTTCTGGCGCTCTTCTAACGCCGCGTCGCATTGCCACGTTTCTGCGCAAAAGCTTTGGAAGCGAAAGCCGACCGTCGACATCTCCTACACACACACACCTTTTTCGCCCGCAAATCTGCCTGAACTGATTGCCGGACGGAGCACCCCACGATGTCATTATCAGTCGATTCCCGCATTCCCTCCTTCCGACCGCCCACGCCCACACTCCGATAACTGTTTAGTCCTGTTTAGTCGGAGAGCTAAGCCTCACCTTGTATGCTTTCGATGTCTCCAAACCCCCCAATTGGGGGTTTGGGGGAGGGACTAGGCTGTTTGCGGGCATATCTAAGACGGGGGGAGTTGACCCGATGGATGGTAGATCTGCTGGTACTGTGCTTGCGACTGCGACTGCGACTGCGATTGCGATTGCGACTCTGCTGTGCTACTATGTATTGCTATTATGGTAGTGAGGATGTTACCTTACGGTGAGGTTGCAAAAGGGATCAGCGAATACACATGTCATGTAGCGTGTGTATTTGGATATGCAACGCATATCGTGGCATCATGGGACTTGCACTCACAGCACCGCTGCCTTCGCTACTACTAAACACATCGATCCCAACTCGAACAGCCCAAAAGACACTTGGTGTACACCGCGTGGCAGGCGTGAAACATAGCTGTTGAAGATCTTTTCCCCTGCGTACAAACGTGTAAGACATGATTCGTACATCGTACATCGACAAACCTCCCAAACCCAACAAGCCTTTTCAACCCTAGCCTAAACAGCGAGCCACAGTGGATAAGCACGGCCTCCCTCGGTCCTACATCCCTCGCAGGTTGGGCGAACTGCATTAGGTAACGTGACTGGGTGTCGTACGCGGTGTTGATCGCTTCGAACGCGACGCGTAGCTTCTGCACTGGCTTCTACTCGGTACCGTCATACATTATCGTATTCACGGCACGTCCCATTAGCGCGGCGCTGCCATTAATGCATGCGTGAGGCTGAAAGTACGGTAGTGGAACGTGGAATGTGGGTAGGGTAAGACTTTTTTTATAACTCCGAAATACGAGGTTGGCGCGAAGTGCCGGTAAGGGACGCTGAGGGCGTGATTGGAGGGTTGAAGATTTGATGGTGGGGGGTTGTGTATATTTCTGGAGGTTGAATGGTAGGAGCTGAGACGTTAGTTTGGGGTTGTGGTTACGCTGATGCACCTAGGTAGCTGCACGTGCGAAATGCCATGCAAATTATTTCGAGCGATGATGGGATTGTTTGAGGTCTCGGCCGAAGAAGTGGTCGATGTGGGGTGCTGTCTTTGATACTTTGGTATGCGTATCTCTAGCTTCTGTAGAGAATTGCAAACAGCTTTTAGACGTGCTGTGAATGTATAGTTCTGCTTTGTACTGCTATACTTCTTGCATGCTGAGAACATGTTGGTTGGAATTGTAGTTAGTAACTGGCTACACGTGCTTCAATTCTTATGGGACATCTTGTCGGGGACATGTTGACGAGGAATGCTCTTCGGAAGCGCCGATGATGGACATGTATCCTGCCGTTTTCGTGTCCTTTTCTTCGACAGGGAGGAGTGAGTGCATGCCCATGCCCTGATCTTCGAAACGGCGGTAAGAGAAGGGATGGCTTAGCTGGACCAGCCTTGATACTGTTCAGACGGTGTCGAAGCAAGATTGCTTCGAAGAGTGAGGCATGTTCCATCTAGATTAGACTTGGGCGCGATGCTGTTTCTTTTCACTCTGGCTAGGTTTGGGTGCTCAGCACGTCTCGCAGACGTGGAGGAGAAACATCGTTGATCACTCTCACGACACATCACTCCCTTTCCCTCCCCAACCATTCCACACCATCTCTCCATCCTCAAGTCACCCAACTCCACTCATCCCACTCCTCCCTCCAACTCACCGGCTCCAGCGGTCCCTCAACCTCCAATATCTGACCCAACGCACACTCATCAAAGCTAACCTTCTTCTGCTTCTCCAAGTAAAATACATCGTACCTTTCATGCATAGCGTCTTTTAGATTACGCACATTGCCCTCGGGATGCAATTTCTCCCATGGTCGCGTGCACACACGGCCTTTGCAGCGCTTGAGCGTGAGGAGGAGGGCGTCGAGGCGGGCGGTTAGGGGGAGGATGGGGTAGGAGGATATGGAAGAGGTGGTGGTGGTGGTGTTGGGGGTGTTGGGTGTGGAGAGGAGGTTGGCGAGTTGGTAGGGGTCGGTCTGCCATCCTTCGTTAGTACTTATTTCCCCAAGCCTTTGAAGTAAAGAGAGGGCGAGAGAGCGCAGAAAAAGAAGACTGACCTTCATATCATAAAGCTCCCGCTCATTCGTACACCAAACCGTATAACTCAAATCATACTCCTCCCCCACCACCCTCACCGTCTTATACGTATTCTCCGCCCACACATCTCGCCCATAAAACGTATTCCCCTCCACCAGATACTCCCCCCAAAACTCAACATTAACATGCTCACTCTTCCCACCCCTTTCCTGCATCGCCCCCGTAACAGGAATAACCTCCCCGTCAAAGTCCTCCCGGGGTGGTATACCAGCAAGGTGAAACAGCGTCGGCACGATATCCGTATGACTACTCGGGATATCCATCACTGCGCCTTTGGCAACGCCCGGGCCGCGGATGAAGAAAGGGATGTTGATGTCTTCTTCTATGCCGCAGGATTTACCGGGTGGGAGCCGGTGTTGGCTGATGTGGAAGCCGTTGTCTGTTGTATAAATCAGATAAGTGTTTTCCAGTACCTCGGGGTGTTCGCTCAGACGGTTCATGATGGACTCGATGAGGTCGTCGACGGATTGGAGGGTTTGCAGGCGTGCGCGGTACCAGGCGTCGTTGTAGGCGATTTCTGAGGCGTTGAGCGGGCGGAGCGTGGAGAAGTAGGATGCTGTTCCTGGCTGCATGGGGTTGGGGGTGTTAGATGGGGTATGCAGTGCAGAGGGGAAGCGGGCTTGACTTACTTTTGAGGGGTTGAAGTTTGGTGTTCGGGGTACTTTTACGTCGGGGAAGAGATGCTCGTGTCGCTTTGCGGGGACGGGTAGGTTGAACTTTGTGGGGCGTGGGTTGGTGATTGTTTCTGAGTGGGGGGCTATGGGTGCGACGCCGAGGAAGAAAGGCCGGTCTGGTGCTGCGATGGCTTCGTCTAAGAAGGATACTGCGGCATTGGCTACGAGGTCGGTTGAGTATTCTCCTGGTGAGTTTCTGTAGACGTCGTGGTTTCGCGTCATGGTTGAGTTGTAGAAGACATATGTTCCGGGGTCGATCAGGACTGTAGATGTCAGTGGCTAGACAGCGTCGCTGTAGTGGTACTGGGATGCTTACAGTCAGAGCCATTCCAGCCACTGGCTCGCGGTGCATCGTATGTAGAGGTGGAGTGTCCATTCATCAATTTTCCAGTGTAATATGTGTTGTAGCCCGCCTCTTGAAGCCACACGGGAAGATAAGCATCATTGAAACCTTCTTCAATGAATCTAGGATATCCGCCTGCTAGTAGTCAGTACAGTTTTCTAGCTTATCTTCATTGTATCCGACGTACCGTAAGGAGCAGACACGTCCGTCACATTCGTGTTGTGAGCGGCTTTCCCAGTCAAGAGCGACACTCGCGATGGGCAACATAGTGCTACGGTGCAGAAATGCTTCTTGAACCAAGTACCTTCCTGGGCGAAATGCTTCTGCACAGCAGGTTGGTAGTCGAGCGAGTTTAGATGTAAGTCTTGATCATCGGTAATGATGAAGATGAAGTTCGGTTTGGAAGAGCGCCCAGCAAGAGCGGCTACACCGAAGGACAGCAACAGTAGAGCTCGACTTGGAATCATGGTTGTGTGTGAGAGTTGAGTTCTGTAAAATTCACAGTGTTGATATACCTTCGGATTCGTTTACACTCTGACGTATCTGGGAAGTCGCTACCCACGCCCATCGCGCGAAGTTGCAACTTCATTGCGTGCTCGGGAAGCTGACCAGGGTTCAGCACAGTCCCACTGACGACGCATACTAGTAGCCATAGCTGCCAATAGGATGGAAGGGAAAGTGATAACCGACGTGAATGGAATGGAGCTCTAGTCTTGAAAGGAGAAAGAACTTGACAGTATGAGCTTATCGTGAAGCAGGCTGAGGAGCGTGCTTCCGATCTATCTGCCGGTACACAGCAGATCTACCTGTATAGAGATATGACAAGGGTGAATTTGCAAAGAAATCTGAGATGACTGGAAGTACTGAGTAAGGAGTCCCGTCGGCCTTGCGCTAGCCATACCTAGGTAGTCTTGGAGACGGCTGGGGTGAAGTGAAAGTTTGGAACGGTAGACGTCATTGCAGGGCTGATGCGTCGACTACATGCTGTGACCTTACCCATACATATCCGCCAAGACCTTTTGTTCTGTGACACGAGATGATGATTCCATGAACACGAGCGATACCGGGTAGAAGGGTCGACGCATGGGACGACCTTGTTCACTTCAGTCCATAGTGGGGCATCGGAACGTTCCGAAGAGCGGGCCGAGGAGTTATTCCGGCGGCGCCTGTCGATGGCGTAGGTCCAAACACATCGACAACACACTCGCGCACCTCACCGCTCTACCTTTACGCAACTATGTCGGGAGGCTGGAACACCATAGAGTCTGATGCCGTAAGCCCGCCACCACCATCCTACAAGAACCTCAAGAAAACCGCATACTAACAACCCCAACAGGGTGTCTTCACATACCTCATCGAGAAGCTCGGTGTCAAAGGCGTAGAGTTCGAAGAACTCACCACACTCGAACCCTCAGACTTACAGGCCCTCGGTACACTGTACGGCGTAATCTTCCTCTTCAAGTACCCGACCGGCGAGAAACCCAGCGACGTACCGAAAGACGGGACGTACGACTACGAGGCGGCGAATAAGCTCTTCTTCCCTGCGCAAACGATACAGAATGCGTGTGGTACACAGGCGATTGTTTCGCTGCTGCTGAATAGGGAGGAGGAGGTTGATATCGGAAAGGAACTGAAGAAGTTCAAGGAGTTTGCTGGCGACTTTCCGCCAGAGGTATGTGAAGGCAGGGACTGTACCTGTGCTTTGGATGTGAGGGGCTGATAAAGAGGCATAGCTACGAGGAGAAACACTGTCGAACTCGGATCTCATCCGCGAAACCCATAATTCTTTCGCGCGCTCCTCGCCGTTCGTCGACGAGACACAAAGGACGGCTACTGAAGACGACGATGTCTTCCACTTTATCGCGTAAGTCCCCTTCCTCCCTTCCCTATCACCTCTCACCCACAGTCCACTAATCCACACACCCAGCTACACATCCATAAACAACCGCCTCTACGAACTCGACGGCCTCCAACCCGCGCCCATCCTCCACGGCCCCTGCACGCCCACCGACTTCCCCGCCAAAATCATCCCCGTCCTCCAACGCCGCATCGCGCGCTACCCCGCCTCGGAAATCCGCTTCAACCTCATGGCCTGCTGTCGCGATCTGCGCATCCGCGCACGCGAGATAGGCGACGAGGACGAACTCGAAGAGCAGGAGGACAAGCGCGCAAAGTGGCTATACGAAAACTCTCTGAGGAGACACAATTTCGTAGGCTTTGTTGGCGAACTATTGAAAGCCGTTACCAGGGCGAAATTGCAAGAGGGCGATGGAGCGTACGACGCGTGGGTTGAGGATGCGAAGGGGAGGGCGGGGAGGAAGAGGGAGGAGTTGAAGAAGAAGGGTATTCAGCCTGAGGAGTAGGCGGTAGCGAGAGTGGGAGCGGGGGTGGATGGGGTTCGTTTGGGATCGAGGAGACTGAAAGATGGGTGCTTGTGTATGATGATACTTGCAGAGCTCTATTGGATACGAATCTGATAATCACAAAGACCAGTCTATCGGACTACTATGCTCCTTCCCATTTCGAATGAACTTCAAGGTCACGTCGAATACCTCCACACTACACGGACGTCTCCTACTCATCACATACCCACCGCCCATTCAGTCTCTCACGGCAATTCAAACACACTGAAACCAAGCCATACATGGCAACATTATGATATCATGTCGTGTCTTCATTCTTCATATTGGTATATACTCCCCATATCCCCATCCACATCCACAGCCACACTATCCAAGTCGTCAATCAACAACCCGCTATGCCTCAACCAGAAAGAAAAAAGCGAAAGAAAGGGGATATCTTCAATCGAAACCGCTACATTACGTCATGAACATGAAACATGAAAGACATGGTATAGTATCGTGTGGTGTATGTAAGCAAATGCAAACGCAAATGCACATGTATATGCATGTAGATAGGTAGATGCTAGAGGCCGTGAGGGGTATGCGTTATAAGCTTCATAGAAAAGAGAAAAGGAACAGTAGGACAAAGGACAAAGGAAAAGAGGAGGGAATATGCGGGATGGGGAGAAGGCGATGGAGGAGGAGGAAGGCGGGAGAGGTTGTATGAGAGCGTCTAAGCAGAAACCGCGCAGTACGCAAGCGGAGCCTCGAAGACGGGCTCGACTTCTGAAGCGCAGAACGAGGTTTCAGCGGGTGTCTGGTTGGAAGCGACAAGGACGTCCGTCTTCGCCTCAACCTCAGCAGCAGCGAGGGGAGTAGACTGCTCCATAGCGACGTCGAAGAGCTCGAGGTCTACAGCGGGGCTGGTAGATGTCTCTTCTTCCGCCTTCTCCTCGACAACAACCTCAACCTCAATCTCAGCCTCGACCTCCTCAGCCGCAGGCTCGATCTCCGGGTCCGCAATCTCAAGAACCGGGACAGCAGTAGCAGTGGCAAACTCCGTAACTGTAAATGTAGAATAACTCGTCGCAGTCATAGTAGCTGTAACAGCATTCGGCATGCTTGCTGCAACTTCAGTCGGTAGCTCGAGCATCTGCGCTGACGCGGGTGCTTGCTGAGCAGCACGCATGTTCATCGCCATGTATGCGACGGCCACAGCCAACAACAAGATGATAGAATTGCGCTTGTCGCTGAGGAGAAGGATGATGTAGTTCTTCAGCAGCGTGGTGAGCGGTATTTGAGCTGCCGAGAGACGTGTGGCAGCTTCAGCGCTCTCCTGTTCCTTGATAGCAGTTTCCAGCGCACGGAGACGCTGGGCGACGGCGTCGGATTCAGCAAGGGCTTTGGCTTCGAGTTCAAGACGAACAGCCTCCTTCGCTTCGTTGAGCTTGAGCTGGAGGTCCTCTTCGAACTTCTTCCTCTCAGCTGCTTTCTCTTCGATGCTTCTTTGTAGGGCGGCGGCAGCCTCTTCGAAGCTCTTTTGTAGTTCGGCTTCCTCCTTGCGCTTCGCCTCGTTGGCTTCCTCTTCTAGGATCTTGGTCTTGACGGCGGCTTCTTGAATTTGGCGTTGCAGTTCGACGGTGTATTGTGCCTTACGCTTGTCGGCTTCTTGCTCCTCCTGGGCGCGGCGCTCGAGCGTCTTGCGGACCTCCTCGGGGATCCAGGGGTGGATCTCGACGTCGCATCTTTCCATGTCGTTCCAGCAGGCTTGCCAGGCGGCGGCGCGCATCAGACCGTTGGCAGCGTAGATCTTGATGTCCCATTTCCGTGTGCCGGCACCGATGCCTTTGCCGGGCTTCTTGAGTTCGCGGTGGCAGTCTATGCACATGCTGTGGTCGCCGTTGTGGGAGGTGTTGCTTCCTTCCGTCAGTGTGCCTCCACTCATGCGGCTGCCCCGTCCAGTGTTCTCGTCGCCGACGCTCGCGACATCGTCTTCGTCTTCCCGCTCGTCCTCGTCCTCGGGTGGGACAAAGTGGCCGCACGGGAGCAGGCGGGGTGTCCTGAGCTCCAAGCTCTCCAGTATGCGTTCCTCGAGCAGGTCGTACTCGTCCCGGGGGTGCGGGATGAGAAGGCCGCGTCGCATCAGGATGATGTCCTGCAGCTTCTCCTCCAGCAGCTTGTAGTTCTCCACCAGCCAGTCAGGCATGATCCTGGCCATGATGTCGTGCGAGTATGGTACCTGCATGGGCAGAATGGTAACATGCAACAGGACCAGCGGCGCCTGCTGCGGTGTCGGGGTCGGTCTCGGACTATGAGGCTCCCGTATGCTCCTTCTCCGTGAGCCGGTAGACTGTCTCGACATGTCGTGCTCTGATCTGCTGCTCCTGCTAGGTGTAGCCAGCTTGAAGGACCCTTTGAGTCGCTCTTGGGAGGTCTGGTGTGCGAGTGTGGGCGGCGGCGACGACATCTGCATGGCGCGGACAGACTCAGTATTCCGGAAGCGCGGACGTTCTTTGCGTGCTCGTGCACCGGCCTCGTTAGCGGGCAGGATGGGTTTGGAAGCTATCGACGACTCGGAGGGGATAGCCGAGACGAAGCTGTAATGCGAGGACATGCGCTGCTGCGACCCCGGGCGCGAGGTGTAGGAGCTGCGGTAGGGCTGGGGCTCGTCGTCGGGCTCCTGTTGCTGTGCCAGCTCAATGCTATGTACAACGTCGTGGGCCATGGGGAACGAGCGTTCGGAGTGGTACGAGTCACTGCCGTCGAACAAGTCCGACGGCGACAAGGGTTCGCGATCCTGTGGGTCTTCGTAGATGGCGAATGAGGTAAGGCCCGGCTGGGGAGACGGGTGGTGCATGGTAGTAGCCATATCCGACCTAAGTGTGTCGCGGTGCAGCAATTCTTCGCAATGTGTAATTCAAAGTTTGTGAAGTTGAACAATTGCAGAATGAATGCAACGGGAGGCCAGGGATCCCATCATCTGAAATTCATGGTGAGCCGAGGCGGCACCCGGTGGGGGTTGGCTGCGAGGTGGTTGGGATGGCTAGCGCGTGCGTTGTCGACGTGTCAAGAGCGTGCTGGAGTTTGTTTACACACCGACACTTTAGCGCCTAACCCCAAACGTA